TTTAAAAATCATTAACATACTAGTACCACATAAACTATAACCGAACCTATTCTAAAATTATAATACATTGAAACCAAAACATTAACCAATTTAACAATTTAACTTTAAAAAAAGCAATATAGGTGTAATATATTATTTTCAGAAAATAATTAAATCATGATTTGTTCAAAAATATAATTTATTACTACTTAATCTGAACATTTTATAATTTACAAATATTTCAAGTATAATATAATATGTAACATGTAAGTGAATGTGTATATTCATTTAATTTTTCGATTTTTTTTCGATTTATGATTTATATTTTATACATTCAGTGATTCAGTCACTTGGAAAATATATTTTTATTTTTTTTATAATCATAAATTCCATTTTAATAACAATATACCTACATGGTTCAATAGCGTTGATTATAGAATAGACTATACGCGCCCTCCCCATCCCATTGCGAGAATTTTTAATATCTACAATCAGCCATATTCTTGTATTTTTCCATTACCTATATAACGTCGATAATTTGAGCGAAAAGTCCTGGCTATGATAAAATTGTTATCGACGAAAACTTGTCGTGCTATATAATCAATTATTAGTATCGTTGGTAGTTTTACAAAAGAAGGTATCTTGTTAACCACAATAGTATTTTTGTTCATTGACATGTTTTTATGAACAAATTGTAAAAAATGCTCTAAAAACTTAGAAAAAGCACGTCAAAAAAAATCGTCAAAAAATGCGTTTAAGGTTAATTTTATCAAAAATGCTATACAAAATTATTTTAAAATAATCAGTACTTTTTTAAAAATGGCTAATAATAATAATAAAAGTTATATAATGATATATGTATTATATTATTTAAAAACCATTGCCAACTTAATTTGAAAACTACTAAAAATGTTTTCTACCCCTATTATAGTTAATATGTGCATACTTGTTAATGCAGAGGGCCATAGCAGTGATGACTTTCTGTGGTTCGGCCAGATGAATATATTTTTGTTTATGATGGGCAATATTGTAGATTACGAGGACACCAGACGCTGGATAGACGATTTCATTTTCATTCAGAAATAAACAGTTACCGTTTACTTTAGTTGTGAGACCGAAAAAAAATTTCGGGCTTAAAGTCGGTATCATCATAGGACGTGACATTATATACCGATAAATAAAGTGTATCAGCTCTCTCTCTCTCTCTCTCTTTCACTATAAAATTATCAATGCACTGTTTGCTTGTAAAAAAAAACACGTTAATCGAAACAGGTTTATATTAATAAATAAAAATAATACATATATTTATAGAATTTAAAATACGCAATATATTATTGTCTTTGAAATTAAATTAACACGCAAGTATTTTTGATATCTTCCGATACACTGATTAAATGTTAACGCAGCTACCATAAGTTATACGGCCTTTGTTAAATCGAAATTTGTTATTTTCTTATATAGTTATATATAATATTATACAGTTGCTATGATACCAAATTAATGAATGGTAAATACTAAATAGACATATTTCCTGTATCCAGCCTTTTTGTTATATATACCGTTGTCACAAGAAACAGCCAAACAGGTGCACTTTATCACTCATTACCCTTTTTTTTTT